AAAACCCTTAGCCACCAGTCTGGCTTTATGCCTCTCTATGTCACCATCAGCATGAAATTTTATAGCATAGACCCATCTGTTCCCTATGACCCTTTTGTTCTGTGGCCTAGGGACAATGTCCCAAGTTCTATTAGCTTCTTGAGCTTCAATCTCTACATCCATAGCCCTTCTCCAACGTTCATCTTTTACTGCTTCTTCAAAAGATGCAGGCACTACCACTGAATCCATTGCCATCACATACTTCTTATAACCTGGTGACAATTGATCATATGACAAGCAACCAACCATAGGATACAAAGCCTTTTGATGTGTGGTTCCTAAATGCATGACATAATCATTATACTTTACTGGTTTCACTATGTCCCTTGCTGGTTTTCTGATGGCAATAGGTAAGGAAGTGTTTGGTGGTGAAGGAGGTATAGGGATAGATGTCTCTATCTGACCTGAGTCAGGGAAAGGAGAATGAGAAGGAGAATGAGAAGGAGGGGCAATGGGAGATGGGGTTGGAGAAGGAGAAGAAGAAGAAGTGGATTCTGAATTTTCAGGTATAACAGGTAAATGATTGGAATTTGGTGAAGTTTCTGGTTCAGGAACAGAAGGTGGAAAAGCAAAATGTTCTGTGGTTGTTGGGGTAAAATTGAAAGGTACTTGAGTCTTGGATGTAGAACCAGAATCAATAGATAAGCAAGGAATGATGTGTTCATGAAATCTCACATCTCTAGAACAGAATACCTTTTGTCCTTGCAAATCATACAGTTTGTACCCTTTAATTCCTGAAGGAAATCCTATGAAAACACAGGGTAAAGCTCTAGGAGAAAACTTTGTTCTGTTGTGATGTAAAGTACTTGCATAACACAAGCACCCAAATACTTTCAAGTTTGAGAGGTTAGGAGGATTGCCATAGAGAATTTCATAGGGAGTTTTATTGTCAATGGCAACTGAAGGTAATCTGTTTATTAGGTATACTGCATGAAGGATGAAATCTGACCAGAACTTAAGGGGTAATCCAGATTGGAATTTAAGAGCTCTAGCTACATTTAAAATGTGTTGGTGTTTCCTCTCCACTCGAGCATTTTGTTGTGGAGTTTCAACACAAGACATTTGGTGAGTGATTCCAAACTTGGAATAGAAATCTGGCATGTGGAACTCCCCTCCCTGATCAGATCTAACAGTCTTAACCTTCCTCTCAAAATGAGTTTGAACCATCACACAGAAATCTTGTAGCAATTTTCTCGCTTCATGTTTAAATTTCATAAGATAAGTCCATACACACCTAGACTTGTCATCTACAATGGTGAGGAAGTAATGAAAACCATTGTAACTTGAAACTGCCAAAGGGCCCCAAATATCAACATGGATCAATTCCAAAACATTGTTTGCCACAGACTGGCTTGAAGGAAAAGGAAGACGTTTCTGTTTAGAAACAGGACAAACATCACAGTGATGAACATTAGAAATATCTATACTAGGAACAGTTTTCTTTAATGATTTAACTCTAACATCAGAAGGATGTCCAAGTCGCCAATGCCAGAGATCAAATGACTGTGGTGTAAGGTTGTGAGTCTTGAGTGAGTTGGTATGTATAAGTGTTTCATCTGTGTTGGTAGGTATGAGCTGGTATAGACCTCTAGTCTCTTGAGCAAAACCAATCGTCTTCGAGGTCAGAAGGTCCTGGATGGAACAAATGGTGGATTTGAAAGTGAGTGTAACTGGTAGGGATCTAGTTAGTCTACTAACTGATATCAGATTGAAAGAAAAAGTTGGAACAAACAGGACATTGTGGATTATGAGATTGGGGGTTAACTCCACTGTCCCAGAGTGAGTAGCAGGAGTTTTAGATCCATTTGGTAAGGTAATAAAGACATTTTGAATAGGTAGACATTTAGTGAAACTAGAAATAGAACATGTAACATGATCAGTTGCCCCTGTATCTAAGAACCACACATTGACTAGTTCCAATGGATGATGCTGGAAATATGATGTAAGGGTGTATTTACCTGCAAAATTTGGAGTCTTTGAGATATGCCTGCTCACTGAATTAACCATTGGCTGCTGATGATGATGAGGAGAACTGATAGCTGGTCCAGGTGAAGAAGGTGAGCTTGGCGAGCTGAACTGAGTCAGAATGCGTTGAAGTTTGCTCAGATCTTCATTAGACAGCCTTAGGTTTGTGAAACCATCATTAGCTTCACTCACTGTCCTGGTTTCTGGTTTTGGCAAAATTCCTCCTTCTGTATTGTCTGAACCTTGAATTTGCCCTACAAACCCAGAAGATGACCCATTCTCTTTGTTCTTCCTCTTAAGCTTATAGCAATCAACAATAACATGGTTATCCTTTTTGCAATATCGGCAAAACAAAGGACCTCCCTGACCACCCTTAGCATTATCTTTCCCTTTGGATTGATTTGCAGCCATCAGTGCAACTGATTCAACTTGAGAGTCCTGATTTGTCTTTCCCAACTGCCTTTCATGTTGTATTGCATAATGAAATGCAGTCTCCATGGGTGGCAGTGGAATCATCATAAGCAAATTGGTTTTGACTCCTCCATATGACTCATTCAATCCAGTTATAAATCTGGTCACAAATTCATTTTCACGGTACTTCCTAACTGTGGTCTCAGTGACACAATCAGCAACCCTATTACCCTGATCCCCACACATACAACCAGGAATAGGTAGAAATTGGGCCAACTCTTCCCAATATCCTTTCAACTCAGAATAAAACTGATTCACTGACTTGTTACCTTGTTTTAGAGTGTAGACTGCTGTCTGTAAATCGCTGATGCGGATGTTATCTGCCTGCCCATACCTCTGTCTCAGATCATCCCAAAGAAGTTTGGCATTGTCCTGAGAAGACACACTGTTCACAAGACTGGGATCCAGTGACCCAAGAATCATAAAATAGACAGCCGTGTTGCTTTGCTCCCAGGCTTGGTAGCTCTCATGCCCTAGATCTGGAACTGGAATCGCACCAGTAATGAAACCAAGCTTGTTCTTGCTTTTGAGTGCAACACGTACTGTTCTGCTCCACAGATTGTAGTTGGCAGTGCCAGTAAGCTTGATTGGGAAGTTCAGAGATTCATTGGGGTTGATGTAGAATGGGTTGGTAACGGTGGTGATGGCAGTAGTCGCAACAGTAGATCCTGACGACATATCAGCAGCTGCTTCTGTCGTCATTCTTGCAGAAATGAAGGTTTAACACGGAAGAAGGTGGAAGAAGAAGAATGCGGGATAATTGGGAGTGAAACCCTAGAAAAGGTAACCAGGCTCTGATACCATATGAAATTAGGTAACAGAAAATGGTAAAGGAACCCGCAGGAACCTTGTGGCTCAAAGGCCTTGCATATATACCCTGACAAACCTTCTCAACGAAGGAGATGAAAGTTACCAACGGTAATAAAACAGAAAAGTTCTATCTACCAACCAAAAATGAACACCTAAACTATACAGTAAAATCGGAAAACTAACTCTACACTGCCTAAGACGACATCGTACTCTACTCAGCTCATCACTTGCTTCTGAGGGAGAAACGTCATCGTCCCACGAGCTCTGCAGTGCTGGAGTCCATATACACAAGCATCTTCAATAGTAACTTGTGGTAACTTGTAGTAAACAATGATGAAAGTCGTAAATGACAGTTAAATACTCCTACTATCATGTATTCAATCTTCTTACCATATTGGTATGTTCATACCATCATGGTACGCTTTCTTACAATATGGTATTAAATTGGAGCATACCATATGGTAATGACTGGTAAAAAATTATTCAATTTTTTTGTACTATAAATATATCAAAGTGAATATCATTTTGAAGAGCATATTTAATCTGATTTATCTGTGCAAAAAAAATTAAATTTTGACTTAAAACGATAGAGAAATCGTCCGTTAAAGATTAAAGGGGAAAATATAAAAGACTTTTCAGGAGAGAGAAACTACTGATGTCATGTTGATGTGAACAGGTTACTCATGGTTACTGACCATAGAGTTACTTACCTGATCCGCTCCTCTAGTTCTTAACTATTAATCAGTTAAGTAATGACAATTATTACTTTGTTAGTTAAACCAACGCTGATTGTGGTTTAACTAGCAATGATCCAATGACCTGCTGCATTACTGTTGGAGAACCGGACTCAGCTTTTTCACCAAAAACCAGACAAATGGTGCCACCCTGTCCTCATCCGTCACTTCTACCTTCTGGCGCTAGAGAATCCAGACCAAGAACATCATACTCTATATATATAAACAACTTGAAGGGCTTTCATATTATTCAGTTACACCGCTTGTCCCTCCCAAGGCTTCACCTTTGCTCTGTCAGGTTCTTCCTGATATGGGTTGCATCCACTTCAGGCGTTTTCCCTTTTCTTTCTAACTGAGCAATGATTTGAAAGGAATCGTTTTATTACAAGCAAGCAGGCGGAGAAAAGATCTGCCTGTCTCGGTGTTTAGGGAAAAGCAGTCAAATGAGAACCAATCATTGTCCAAAGAAAGTTTGAGGTATCAAGATGACGATTGGCTCAGAGAGGAACCCATCAGAATCATTTGAGGGTTCCAACATCCAGCACCTTATCATAATCTGCTTTATCTTATATGCCTCCCCCTCCTCCTTTTCCAAACCCAAAACCCATTTCAATTCCATTGAATAAATATCTAGCTTTGCTTTCTGAGCTCCCCCTATAAGTTTCCTCCTCCTTAAATCATCAATGCACATCATCACTGCCAGTGTAGGAGCTTCTGCTGAAAGTCCCCTACAGAGATATTAGAGAGCTACTGTGTCGGTTTTTGTCTCGCATCAATATTTGGGTCAGGATTGGGTAATCTGCATCCTGAGGTTTGGATTGCCGTTTCACATTTCGGCTCTAATCCTCGGGGTGCAGATTACCTCCTCCTTACTCATTCTGTCATTCACAATACCAAACCTTCTTCCTTCCTTTCAGGTAAAATATCTTCCATTTCTGGTAGAGCATCAAGGAAAGATCATGATGTGTACAAATCCCATGTTACGTTCCACTTGTTTCATTATTTCATTCCTTTGACTATCCAGCAAAGATCATGATGATCTAATTGGCATGTACACTGTGCCTTCCTTCTCATACTTGAAAGTGTTGAAACTATGTCATTCCTTCCTGTGTTTATTTAGTCCATTCTAATAGTTCATCTGAACTTCTGTAACTGTGAAGAAAACAAGTGATCTACATGTTTGATATATTCCATTCTGAATTGTCAATGAGAAGAAACAAACATTCTCGACAGGAACATGGTTCAGAATTTATTTGCATACAAGATGAGATATTTATACAAATCTATTATCAGCCGTTGATCCTTTTGCAGGAGTCTTGCAGTTGCAGCAGCTTCTTCCTTGGTGAGGCTGATGTCGTTGCCATCCTTGAAGATGAGAAACTCCATCATCTCCACCCCAAAGAAGATGAAAGTTCCACATAGGCGAGTGATGCAGGAGCCAAACTCTTTGCCAACCACACAGTGCCATGCCCCTCCACAGTCTTCATCAAATTTCTATTCCATAAACCCCAAAGCTTTAAAACGGGAAATGAAATAAACTAACTCAGAATTCAAAATAAAGAAATGACTGAACTGCCAGGGAGACTTCATGGTAAATACTGCAACAGTAGCAGCAGTCTCCGAGGTCTGGGAGTAGCTTTGCTGCATGGTTTTGCTTAAACGCTAATGTCTAAAGGTTTTGATGCATGATTCTTGACCCACTAGCCAGTAAAAAGCATATTCAAATAAACAAAGAGATCAGTTCAAAGCATTATTCATTCAGAAGCTTATTCCACGATCTTATTATTCTGAACTCTATGAAGTAAAAGTTCCAGCACAGTAGCAACAATTGCAACCCAGGGAACCCTAACCATTAATCACATGGAATCGAGATCAGTTGATGGGCAGAAAGTAACTTTTGAAAAGATCACTTTCAATGACATGGCTCGATTGAGAAATAAACAAGTTCCATTTTTCCCATGGAAACTGAGATGGGTTTTCTCTATCATCATTCTCCTTGCCAAAAAGGGAGTGTAAAACTATAAGCTCATAGCAATTCCCTATTCCATAAGTAAAATTTAACTAGTGGATAGGGGTATTAACACTAGTTTTGGTACAGAATTCACATTACAAAAGGGTAAGGCTCTATGGGTTTTCTAACTTAAATGTGACCCCTAAATCATTACTTTACTTACCCTCCATCCATCCAAGAGATATAAGATTCTAGTAACGACATAAAGCAGATCCCTTTTGCAATCTATTAATCAGAAAATTGGTTCCCAACCAAAAGCTAGGTACCATTCCATTTAGGCATCGCTTCCCCATAGAATTTCACTGTAGACGTGTACCCCAGAATCTAATACTGTCATTTGAAATGAAAAAGACCAAAAGGAGTTTCTAACGCGAGAGTGATACGAAAATTCACCTGTTTGATATAATGAGCAATGGAGTGACCATCAGAAACCTCATGGGCCTGGTATGGTAATTCCAGTACACGCCCTTGCATCTCCTCTGGCATGTCTCCCTTCCAACATTACCACCTGGAAAGTTGTAGGCTGGCTACTCTGACTTCTGCACTTTTTGATAGCAAATGCAGAAGCTAGCTGCTCAAATCAACGCACTTGCAGTAACAAAAGGAAATATCTGGTTGTTGAAGGAAGCCTTGAAATTGTCTGGATTCCATTCCATGCCCCAGAAAAGAGTTCAAACCACAAGTTATGGCATATTTTGGCACATTGGGAACATGTGTAGAATCCTTTTGCCACTAAAGTGGGTCCATCACCATGACCATGAACATGACCAATTGACAAGACCTCCAGATAGTAGTTCCCCCTCTCCCCTCTTGGAAGTTCTGCTTCTGCTAGGAAATCCCACCATTCTGTGGACGCACAATCTTCTCAAACTGGTGCCACTCGTTGATTCTGGTAGCCCTCTTTTGACCGGACAACAACAGAAACAAAACCATCTTCCCTTACACAATCTGGTTAAACTAGCAAGTTCTTCAAATCAAAACCCAAAGTTAGGCAGGAAGTAAGAAATTCCAGCCAGCCAGCCAGCAAGACGGAAACATATACATAAAGATTGAAGGAAGCTCCTTCTACAAAGATCGCAGCTCTTTCAATCCTCCTCCAAATATTCTCGACAAAGAATCCTCATTTTTTCCTACCCAGAAACCAAGAAAACGAACCCAGTTTTCTCTTCTTCTCCCAGTGAAGTAGCAGCAGTAGTAATAACTTAAGAAATGGGCGCTGACTTCATTTGTCAGCAGCTCCTGATCAAGAACACGCCCAGTTCTTGACCCTCCCACTCGTCCGGGTTAATCAAATGAAACGACTCCGAGTTAGCGCTGCCCACCACATGCTCATAATTCGCCCTCATGTACATCACCTCCTCCGGCGACCCGACTCCTGCCGGAATCACTCCCGCCCCGACCGTCGTGGACTGCATCGTCTTGAGCATCTGCCGATTGCGCTCGCTCACTTTCCTCCTCGCTGCGAACCCTAGCTTTTTACCGTTGCAATTCATTGTCCACACGGGCACGGAGCGGAGCGGGCAGGAGCGGAACTCGGGTCGGGTGCACTCCAGAGCGATCCGGACGAGCCCGAATTTCATCTCCTTGACGAGCTGGTGCGTCGGGACGGAGAGCTCGAGGAGCAACAGCGGCTTCGTGGCCAGGCGGTCGTGTTGGAAACAGAGCCACACGTGGCCGCGGCGGTTGCCGAATATGGTTCCGATCACCATGGTCTTGGACGGCCGAGATGGCGCCAGGCTGGCGCTCTGATCGGTGGATGTGGAGGAATCCGGGTCTTGCTGGTCATCGTCGTCTTGGGGATCCTTCTTGGAGGATACGGCGTCGTCCGGGAAGTCGTCGCGGAGAGAAGTGCTGATCCGCTTCTTGGTAGTGTGGTGGGGAGCGGCGGCGGCTGAGGCGGCGGTGGCAGGGGAGAAGCAGGGGAGGAGGAATCGACGGAGAGCGTCAATCTTGGTCATGGCTGAAAGTCTAAAGTTGGGTTCTTTTCGGAGAAAGATGAATCAAAAATTGGCTTCTTCTGGGAGAGTGAAAGTAATTTTTGGAGAGGGAGATTTTCTTTAACCTTTTTTTCTTTCTTTGCGAAGTCTCAACTCTGCAACTCTGGGAGGCGGGAAAGCAGAGACATAGCCGTTAGGGATATTCGAGGAAAGCCTTGCTGCGAACGACACGTGGAGCACTGTCATTGGTAGTCAACTCCGGCCTCTAAGGGTTGTTCTTCTTCCTTCCGAGTTCTGACTATGTGTTTGGTGATTGCTGAGTGGTGTTTCTGAAGCATATACAGCAGAGGCATACTTTAGTGTCGACCAACTGTACCAATTTCTGAGTCAATATCAATCATCAATCAATTACATAACATTTACTTAACACCATTCTATAAAAAATTTGTGAATTAATATAAATTTGAACGAAAATTCCTTTACTATTATTGACCATTACATCAATTTGCATTGCATAAAAGTTTTGAAAGGTAAACTATTTCTACATGATAATTTAATCAAATGGAAGGTAAGTTAATTTACAAATGCGATACTTTTTCAACTTGATTTTATTATTAAACCACACATTAAATAACGTCATTATATAAAAATTACATAAATTACAAATAAATAAATATTTAGTTGAAATTTTATAAATAAATTACGTAAAACCTATAGAGATATAGTTATTTCTTATATATTAGTTCAAAAATATTTTATGTTAGTCTTCCGCGGTGGCAAGGATGCTCTTTAGCATTCTATTCACCAAAAGAATTCTTCTTGAATTTTGGCGCTTTTTAGCATTCAATATCAATCAATTAATTAAAAGTGCAAGTTAATGCACTGTTCATTACGAAAAAATCTCCCCAGTGTCACTGTTCATTAAGGACATTATTCCATGCGGCAGCACCCACCCAAACTTCCAAACCTCCTAGAACGCCAAAATTCCTCATTTTTTATACTTCTTGCTGCATTTTTTATTATATCTACTATTATCATAAGCATCAGTCTATACCAACACAGAGCCAAAGTCCATTTTTTTGAATATTCCTAATAATTAAAACACTACCTAAAGTTTGTTAGCTTTTATATAACAATAAGATGAGATACTTTTCATGGCTTGGTTTTATTATTAAACCACACATTACATAACATTTACGTAACACCATTCTATAAAAAATTTGTGAATTAATATAAGTTTGAACGAAAATTCCTTTACTATTATTGATCATTACATCAATTTGCATTGCATAAAAGTTTTGAAAGGTAAACTATTTCTACATGATAATTTAATCAAATGGAAGGTAAGTTAATTTACAAATGCGATACTTTTTCAACTTGATTTTATTATTAAACCACACATTAAATAACGTAATTATATAAAAATTACATAAATTACAAATAAATAAATATTTAGTTGAAATTTTATAAATAAATTACGTAAAACCTATAGAGATATAGTTATTTCTTATATATTAGTTCAAAAATATTTTATGTTAGTCTTCCGCAGTGGCAAGGATGCTCTTTAGCATTCTATTCACCAAAATAATTCTTCTGAAATTTTTATGATACTACATAAAGGTTACAAAAAATAATTATTTATTATTCACCAATTACACTGGGGATGCAAATCAAAACCACAATCGTCGGTACCCAACCGCTCCCAGCCAACGCAGAGAATTCCTGCATTGACTGAGTATGGGGCGGGTTTATGAGGGCAAGTATGGTTATAGCCTCCCCGACCCATATTTATAAGTCATACCTATACCATACCTGCCACACAAAGAGAAGTTTTTCATATATAAACACTAGAGAGATCACATTTTAACATGTCACTAAAAAGAAGGGTAATTTAGAAAATGAGTTGAAATGTAATCGAGTGGTCACCCAAACCAAACTTTAATTTCTTTCCTTGCAATTCTCGCTTTACTTTTTTTATTTCTTTTGACAAGAGTATGGTAGTCAGTTATTAATTATAAGTACTTGTGTTAAAGTCGTATATTAATGATTTGGATAGTTTTCTAATTTTCTGCTATAGTGACATGTTGAAAGATTTATGTAACAACATCTATAACAGTTACATAAATTACAAATTCAATAAAATGTTACTTTTTATAACTTGATTTTATTATTAGACCACATATTATGAAAGATTTATATATAAAAATACTATATCAGCAACATTCTATAACGATTAAATAAAATAAAAATTCATTTTTAAAATTTATAGGCACTAGATAAAGTGAATTTATAAAGTGATAGCTATTATGTAAGCAAAGATATTACATGAGTCTTTCTTAACGATTAACACATTATATAAAGTTTTTGAACATATTATCATTTTGTATGTATCAATTAACAAAATATTATGCAAGTCTTCCATAATAATGAAACACTACGTAAACCTTATGTAAGGATAGTTATATATTATGTATCACTTACACAAACAAATGGCATATGTTATTCGCAATGATTAATACAATACGTGAAATTCAGGTAGGTATTTTAATCGAATAATTTTGTGAATGGTTTGATTTCAAATAAATCATTAGTTTCTTACCGCGATAGAGCGCGGGCCAAAAAACTAGTTTGTCTTATTGCTACTATTTTAGCACTATAACAGCCAAGAGATAAGCTTCTGGGTTTTCTTCTTTAGCTTTGTCCATCTATGGACCATCTTCTTATTCTCGAAATTTTATTTGGTTAACTCTGGTTGTAATCCTATCAGTTCACATACGACTGATAAACACAGTACTTTCTATTCTACTATAGTAAGTAGGTCAAGTATAATATATTCAAACGAAGTAGTATAGTGGCGACTAAGGTGATATTCTAACAGATCTGATAGACTATGTTACTTACGAGTTTAGTTGTTATCTAGTTCATCATTCAGTTGTTTGCAGTATATTAGCTAAAGTTACACAAATTGCAGGAAACAAGAAGCAATATCCGTGGTTCGGTTCCCTCCTCCTTACTTTGGGTTATATAATGTAATGGATAGAAATAGCTATCTATGACACGTTTTAATGCGATCATCATTCATATGGGCGTTGGTGCAATCATCATGCCTCCCAATTTCCCTCCTAACTATACCTACAAACTCAATGAACATGCAATTGGCTTCCTTAGATAGGGTAACTCATATCAAATGAGTTTAGCCCATAAGCACATAAATCTAATGACTCAATGATCACGCAACCATCCAAATAGCATCAGTTGAGTAAGTTCCTACTTGACAAAGTGAATGATCATCTAATCTAGATCAAGCCCATGCTTAATCATCACATCTAATCAACACTTGCAATTAACAATGATATGTAATAAATTCATGCAACAAAGCGTCAAAACATCAATTTAACAAAACTCATACCATAGATTAGCTAAATCATTCAATACAACAAAACTCTAGGTTAGGATAAATCCCCAAATACCTTCTTACGAAACTATCCCAATGAGAAGGGGGGGGGGGGGGGGGGGGGGGGGGGGGGGATTTACATAAATAAGAAACTATCTCATGATTAGAGGGTAACTTATGGGTGTTGGGAACTGCTTTAATTCTCTACTCTTTCTCCTCTCCTCTTCTTCTATATCCTTGCTTCTTCAAATGGATTGAACACTCCTCTCTCTAACAAATGTGTGCATTCTCTCATGCTAGCCTCTCAAAATCCTTTGGAGTCACCTTCTACATATAGAAGACAGATATCTGAACGACTTCACGATCGTTTCCGAGAAAGTTCAGGGTCGTGACCTGAAAGATTGTCGCACGATCTTCAGGTGACATTGTCTTGTCCTGTTCACATAGGGTGTTCATGGGCTAGTGATCCCGGCCATGAACTTATTATTGCGACAATGCTCTTTTATCACAGTCTCAACTAAAGACCAACGAGTGAGACTGCGATACCTTCTGATCTGTATGTACATGATTTGCTTGTCACATGATCTTTAGTTCTCGGTTGGATATTCCCGACCATGATCTGCTTCCTTTTGCACACGAACTATGTATGCCCCATTTTCCTACATGTGCGTCCATAGCCTTCTTCATACGTGTTAAACATACACACCTTCACCTAATAGAGATCATATATATGCTATGAAGCAATTGAAGGCTAGAATGTGGATTTAAATACTAATTGATGCAAAACGACCAAAAACACTGAGATTTCGAGAAGTGAAAAAACATCGACATAAGTGTTATCCAACTTAAAGGAAAAGCCAAAACTCATTTGGTTTAGGAAAATTATTTGGGATATTGGCCTAACGCGTATGTATGGTACACTTTCAATATCGGGAGAATATTTCATAATGAGTTAAAATATATAATAAGCTCTGAATTATCGATTTTTTTCTACTAAATCACTTAATAGTTTTTTCTTTAACATACTCCTCAACTTCCTAATTTTTTCTAACCCAATTTCATCCAACTATTGTGAAATGGCCGCCAAAGAGCAGACAAAATGGCGCTTAGTTTGTACCCTCCTTCATCTTAAGAAAATTATAACACTTTTTCCCTATCATTCGTAATAACTCAAACCTTTTTGTGATAGTGGCACCAATTTTCGGTGTCGAGGTTATGTACCTCGAAGATGTAGAGTGATCCCTATTAATACATAACTCAAAGCCTTAATAGAAAGTGTGCTCCTTGAGAGGCAATCCATGTTCTCTTCCCTTTTCATTCTATGTCATTTGTCATTTTTGTTTTCTTACGTGTTCTGCTTACTTTTATGCATGCCTATGTGATTTGGGGTATTCAGTTTATGAGTTGCAAGCTTCTTAAACCACGTGTCGAGCCAAATCCGTCAAAAACCACTGCCACAAACTAGCGTCAGGAACCTAGTCAGAGTTTCACCCAAACGCAAGTGTTGAGGATAGTGCGACGTTGTTCGACTGAACTCATCTGGCTAGCAGACAACAGTCGACGTCCTTGTCTCATTTCCTTCTTCACCTTTAGTTTGGAACTCTAATTTTTTATCCTCTCGTCATTCTCCTCCCACCCACCGCCACAAACCGTTGTCCATGCCACTGGAGCTAAGGCTGCCGCCAGAGAGTTCCAGGTTCCTTTTATCCTATGCCCAGATCGAAGGCACTCTAACACGAGCTGTCCTTGCAACGTTCAGCACCAAGTCTCCGCAATAGGTTGCTTTCATATT